TTCGTTTAAGCTGATGAAGGAGTCCTACTTCCAAGGAAAATTACTATGCCTACAGCTTGAGCAGAAATATGAGTTTCATATTAATCTGTATAAGCATGCTGAATAAGATTTGAAAATTCATAGAACATTGGGTTCCATATTTTATTGTCACAGGTATTGGTAGTCGTATCGCCTATGATGAAGTGAATAGTAAATTTGGTTTTTCTATTTAATTTCGTTGTGCCATTTAGCCCATAAGAATATTTCTATATGATTTGTTCATTGCTTTTACCTCATCTGGGTTTTGTCAACATCCCTAACGAGAGTTGGACTATAAGAGTTTGAGTTCAAGGGCAAACGCTTTATCCTCTACGCTTAACGACTCTAGTGCCGCTGAGTTGAGAAGTTTTAAGGACAAAACATGCGTTTTGCATCTGAGGGAAGCTCGATGCGTTAATGGGGTAATAATAGGAATGATAAAGTTAGTAGCATCAGATATTAGTATATACACTTTTATTATGAGTATGATGTAATTAAGATAAGCTACTCGATTCTATTCACCTTTGACTTCGGTAGATATTTAATCCTCTCTCAAAACAGGTTTTTTACTTAAATTGGCACATTCAATCATTTTTTTGATTTTCTTATAGATTAAAGGCTAACTTGTAGCCTCACAATACTTAATGCTATTTAAACTTACTATTCTCAGTTGAATTATTTTTAAAGATTTTCATATTTATTCCGTTTGGGTAATTACTACAAAACCTGCTTTTAATATTTAATATTTCCAGTATCAAAAGTATGGATGGGAATGTGCTGCTATCGCACTCTCTTGCATCTCCTCATACACTGCATTTACACTCTTGGTTACTCGATGGCGCACACAATTTCGACAGCAGATGAATCTGGCGGATAACCTAGCTGGAAGCCATGCTGTAGACTCACTTATAAATTATGAGACTGTCAAAGTAAGTTAGAGGAAGTATAGTACTCTCTCTTCCATCTACAAGTTTAGGCAATTTAATTCAAATGATTGTACCTCCTATTGTATCAATTTCAATCGAAGACCAAGATGGTGTGGAATTTAATATGATCATGTTCTCTTTGCTAGATAAGCAGATAATGCTTTAGCCCTGTTTTCGCTACTTAGTCTTATTACCAGATAGACCTATATGAACGCACCTTGTCCGGAGTCTTCCGCCATAATAAACATGCTAAGTTACAGCGTCGGATCATGGTTTCCTGGAGTTATTTCGCTTTAGCGTTTTTATTGTTCCCTTGATTTTCATATGTTCCGTCACATGAAAATGCATTTACATTCACTCTCCCTACCTCCTTAGCATCGATGACATTATCCATTTCTAACTTAGGTCTAATCTATTATTTTGATTATTTTATCCCACAAAATGATTCAAACTTTTCATATCTGCTTAAGTATTGGCTTTATAGATGCCAACACTATGATCATATGTCATTTCCTATTTCAGGACTTATTTCTTTTGTGACATGACTTTCCACTTCGCAGGAAAAGTTGGTTGGAAGGAATTCTTAATTTGATCTTACCTTTTATCTTGGTTTAGTAATAGAAATAATTGACAAATAGGCACGAGTAAAATCTATTTAATTCCTATACTTTTTCGATAGGTAAGTAGCTTAAATTATTAGTGTTAGGTTGATGTGACCTTTTTCGCAACTTGGTCGGGGCGATATGGAGATTTTGTAGAATAATTTTGGTCCTGCGTTCTCTATGTATACCTGTTGCATCGACAAAGTTACGAAAACAAGGTCATATCAACTTAATGCAGCTAAAGGAGACTGCAGCCTAAGATCACACAAGCTTGGCCCTCATATCCATTATCTATTAGTGTTAGTTCGACCTCGTTTTCTCAACTTAGTCTGGATGGCATGGCGAACTTGTTACGAAATTTATCCTTTTGCTCTTCTCGCTCATAGTGCTGTATCCTCATACCCCAATTCAATTTACATATCCACACTTCTGGGGGTCTTGATTTATTTTAAGTGTGGAACTTGAATTGGATTTAATGAAGCATAATAATCTTTACCATTGTTTCGGCTGCTGTTCTCAGCGTTTCTGTATTCAAATGGGCTCTTTCTCTTAATCATCTTTTTCATCCAATTTGTCTTATCTAATTTGTCGCCTATAAATTCTCAATCTCGATCACCATTTTCGGCATATTCGAAGATTTATTCATATGAACATTCCCGAAAATATGTCCAATAGCCTAAGCCCCATGTTTTCCGACCTTTATTAGTGCCCTAAGCGTCAGAAACATTATTTCCCACTTATCCTTTTTCTCACTTCTACTCAATTCCCCCACATTCTCTGTGGCTCCATGTATCTGGCTTTAACTATAACCGTTAGTGTGGAGATCTACCACTTCATTTATCATATAAATTATTTCTGGATTCTAGATGGGATTAAGTAGAAAGAGGGAAAAGAAAGAAAGAACTACTGAACGAATGAGGGAGGCTTGGATATTATCGAGTCTTGTCAGGGTTCTCATACCTTACTAATGTCTACAGACAGTTCTTAGCACCACACCCAAATATTCATCAATATTTCAGGGTCAAATACTGATTTTTTTTAAATAAGAAAACTTTAGTGCTAACATTACTTTCACTCCTGCAATCATATAGAGTATGAATGAGGTAATCAACAAAATCATGGGATATCTTTTTAAGATAGCAAATTATGACTAAGAAGTGAGCATGGTTGTAGTGTACTTAGTGCGTTTTTTCGTAAATTATCGTTTTTGGCTCTGACGATTCTTTCACATGAAAGTCGAAAGCTCAATACGGATTCATCGGGATCATAAATCAGTGAGCCATAACTGACAAACTTCTTTGCATAATCCAACGTTCTTCATTCCAAGGCATTACTCTGGTTTCTGGTGAGGCCAATTTATGAATTTCTTCCAAACAATTTCTCTTTCAATATTAAAGTCGAGTCACACTATTCTATTTCGTTCTGTCGCATTGATACTTCTACGTAATGCTACACTCTATTTGCCTCTCCATTATTTATCTTTCCTACTTATTTATTCATTCGGTTTGCTTACATATACTTCTGTTCACTCCGTCAGTATTTCAATAACGAAGCCCATGAAGTTCGTGTATATGACCGACTGCTGACTGACTTCGAACGCGCCAGCGTGCGCACTGCCACTAGTCTTTCATTGCTTAACTTTGGTCAGGCCGCCATCTTCTCCGCGGGACTAGCTTCTACTATGGCTCTCGTCGCTCACCAGATTCCCCTGCTGCCACTAGTCCATGAAGCCACTACCGTGATGCAAAAAGCTGCTGCTGGGTTAACGGTCGGGGATCTTGTGTTGGTAAATGGGCTGCTCTTCCAACTTTCCGTACCACTCAACCTTCTGGGTTCACAGTATCGCGAAGTCCGCCAGTCCTTGGTCGACATGTCAAATCTCATGCGTCTAATGGACAAGGAACCTAGGGTTAAGGTACAGCCGTATCCCAGTTATATTGGTAAAAAGCTTTTTCTAATGACTTTAAAATGCTGATTTCTTTACTCTTTTACTGCAAGTCATAAAATTTTATTTCAGAATATTCGTTCAACAGGCAACGAACACATCACTGTCTCAGCATTAATTCAGCGAGTTGTTGTGGCGGGGCAGCAAGCCAATTAAGGGAATGAAAAAATTCACTCATTTATTAAATTTTAGAGAAAAAAACTGAGTCAGAATGGTGGATTATGGTCACGTTTCAGTTACGACCGGTTTTTATTAGCATAACAAATGAACTAAAAGGTAATCACTACTTACCATATATTCTCCGTTTCTTATGGCATTCTGTTTTGTTACTATTGCTCTCTACGATAACGAGTAATTTGTTAACAGTTAAAGTAAGTTTGATTATACTTTTTATCTGCTGTTAAGTAATCTTCCTATTAGTTTAGTTGAAGATATGAAGACCAAGATGGTGTGGACCCCGGTATGGTCGCAGTCTCCGTTCGATGTATAGAAGTAGATTGACCTCGTTTACGCAACTTGGTCTTGTTGTCAGGGCGAATTAGTATAATGCACTTTGCCCGAAGTCCTCTGCCATAGTAGTTATCATAATTCCCAGCATTAGACCATGGACTTGGTACATTCTCAGACGTTTCGCCGGCATCGTAATCGGCATCATCAGTGTGTCTTGCCATTCTCCGCACCAAACTACAAACTCTTCAGAGACAAGTGAAGTCAATCCCTTGACCAACGTTCTGTGGAAAACAGTTACACTATCACTTCTTTCTATCCTGACCCATCTACCAACTCTTTACCCTCTTATCCAACTCCTACCCCATCACAACTTCTGACTTGTTTAAGTTCCACTCGTCAAAATGTGTCTTTTTTGGCAAACTTAGTGTGGCCCCATTACGTCTGCTATTCATCCTGACCTCCTCTCTTTCGATCGGCTAATTTGACTCGGGCCTCTTATCCGGATCTCCCTCATGGTCCCGAAGATCAATTTCTTATCTTTCTGGTTGACTAATTTCACTCGGTTCCCGTCCCATTGTGCGCTTTACTCCAGGCTATATTTCTCAAGACCTTAGAAGCACGTAATCTGCCGCCTCACTAGGCAGAGCACTTAGGCTCTGGTTCCCATGCTTGCAGATATCAGGCATTGCCTTTACGAGTCGTCTCCTTGATTAAACCCGTGTTGGCACCAATCTCTGGTCGCATGCGGCATCTTAAGTGGATTTCTAGTACATTTTGGCCATAACACCGAATTGCTGTGACGGTTTCCTTATCCGTCTGCCTAGTTCCATGGCTGCCAGGCCCCCAAAGTTGTACTGGTTTATTCGGACAGACATCACTCATTGATAGCGTCTTAGCTTGATTCCCAAAAATACCCGCACCCTCCTTCCTCTTCGGGATCCCTTTTCCTCCGGTTAGCGATAGATCCTTTATCCTGGCGTCTTCATTTTGCTGGTCCTGCTGTATTATTGTTTTCTCCGAGTTTTCTTAAGCAGTATGCAAAGTTATCATGAAATATACCTTCTTCCAATCTTCTGTTCATTAGATTTTTCTTCTCAAGAATATCACTGGCCTCCTTAATCTTCTGCTTCCTTGTCTTTTCACCGTATGAGGCCCTTCTTTCAGTTGATTTCTAATTGATCTCATGTATAGTCTGTGAGATATATTTCGCTAATTCTGATCTTTCGGTATCCATTTTCCTGCAGAGCCTTTGATGTTCCTTGATTCGTATCCTGATTTCTCTCCCTGTTTCGCCAATTTATTTCTGTTCGCAGGCGCCGCATAATATATAGTAAACTCATAAACAGTCCAATTTGCCTATCCTTTCATATTGCGTCGGTGGACTTGTAAAAACTGTTGATTTTTCTTTCATGACCACCTGAATAATCCATTTACTCAATATTGGCCGTAGTTTTTGGGTTGGCTCGCAGGAAGGTAGGCATATCCACTTAGTTGAATCCTTATCCTTCCTTATTGCTCTTTCGTAAACCCTGTTCTGCCATCGGTTTTTCACGGACCGTATATTTTTTTATTACTCCACGTGGGTGGCCGTTGCCGAGGAATATCCTAGTCAATTTGTCCCACTCCTCGTCCCAGAATTCTACATCCGTTAAGCGTAGGCTTCGGATGATCATGCTCCTTATTATTCCTATCCTCAGCCTGTAATTGTGATTGGACTGGACTGTTATAAGACTTCTTTCTGAACAATTTTTTATTGAGCGTCCCATTAGTTCGAATCACTTCAACATCTGGAAAAGTTAACCGCTCACTTTCCTCTACTTCCATCGTGAATTGAATTTTTTCATCAATCTGGTTTATAAACTTCAGAAACTCTTCTAGTTGTTCTCTTCCATGTGACCAAAGT